TCTCCCCAAATTTCTCCCTTCCTTTCCCCACCCCAGCAGCCTCTGGCAACTACTATTCTAGTGATTCTACTGTCTACTTCTATGAGTACAAGTCTTGGCTTTCACATATAAGTGAGATCATGCGGTCTTTGTCTTTCTGTGAGTATAGGCCAAATTTTTTAAATCAGGCCTAAATTTTTACAGACATTCATGTGAAAAAGGCTTATTGGGACCAACCATCCTTTTATGAGGATTGCTAAAAACCAAACCTAAATCCTTAGCAAGGAATAAGGGCCTGAACCCACATACCCTGAGTTCATTTTCTCTCTCTCTTTTTCAAGATCTCTTCCCTCAGAGATCAAAAGTATTAACATTTCTCACACCTTCTATTTTTATAGCCTCACAGGATACAGAGGTGAATAAACACACAGTGCTTCAAGATTTGACTAAAGGACCACCCGTCATTAATGGCAAATTTATTCTAATTTTGCAAGTTTATCCCAGTTCATGGCTTAACACAACCTACAGTAAGTTTGCTCACCTTGCTGAGCTGAGTACTTTTGCCGATTGAATTTGCAGTCTGATTTTGCTAATTTACAAGGCTGACCTTGGTCTAAAGGCATAATTTCATATTAAATTCACTATCATCTCCACTCAGTAGAACTCAGGCCAGTTGTCCGAGATAGTTGTCCAACATAACAACTATGGCTGCTGTTTCTAAATGCCCATCTATGAAAGTGACTGGGTTGCACACCATGTTCATTTCAAATCAAGAAAGCAACTGTGAACAAAGGGGAGAACTGGCTCATCGCCTTCCCTGGAAGGCAAAGTTACCAACCTTACAATGATCAGCTTCTTTCTAATGTGGGCTTTACTATTCATACTGTCACTTCAAAGACAACAAAGGAAGGCAAGGAGATAGAACAGTTTGTTCTTGTTTGAGATTGAATTGGAGATACTTAATTGGTGTTAGAAGTTGAATTGTATAAAAAGTTGAAGACATTTTGTCTTTCGTTTTAAAGAAAAAGTTTTCCAGAAAATAAAAAAGACTTATTAAATGGGTAATTAAATGTTATTTTCCCACTCTTGTGAATATATACACACATATAGCAAAAAGAATACAAAACTATATGCTGTGGCACTTACACTGGTTCTGTTAGCAATTCTTTAGTGATAAGAAAAAGTCATATAATATATATATCACAGTACATTTAAGAAATGTTTTCATTATAATAATAAAAATTACAAAAATAAGCAATAAATAAAATAAATTATAAATTATAAAAATTACAGTCATCCTAGCTCACTTAATAATCCCCTTCCTAAAATGCATCTGATAAAAATAACACGATAAAAATCACGTAAAAATAGAAAAAGATTTGTGTACATGCAAAGAGACAAAAAAGCAAACTATAAAGAGCACAAACTAAATATGCAATAATATATATGTATAGACAAGGCTGGGAGGCTATAAGTAAAATCAAAATTGCTTATATTAGGATGGTGAGATAATGAGTAAATTTCCTTTTTCAATATTTGCTTTTTGTTTCAGATCATGTGGTCAATTTTTCTATATTTACCTATTTAAAAAGAAAAAAGAGATGGATTCACTGTCCTAAATTTGGTTTCAAATTGCTTTTTATCAATTTCAAGTCTTAAATTATATCCTTTTATTATGTTTCATCATAAGTAAGTAGTCCTTAGTACTTATTACAAAACATGTGCTCATTAAGGGACTTTTGAGATCCAAGGTAATTCACCAAAATCACTTAATTTACCAGGGGTTTTCAAGGGGGGATTTCCTTATTTAGGTTTCAGACTATTTCTTACAAAACAGTTATTCTCTCCAACTGTCAGTTGTGCTATAGTGATCTGGCTTCCCTAAAGCATTCGAGGAGCCTTCAGAGAAATTCCTTTGAAATACTGACACTTCCGCTGTAAGATTATTTAGCAGTAAAACTACTTATCCAGTGTGCCAAAGAGCTTTACTTAGAGATGACATGTATTATGCCTTTTTGCCTCTGTTTCATCTTTCTCCCCCATAAACTCAGTACAAGAAATAAAATTTATTTTTCCAAATTAAACTCTAATTTGCTGCTAAGTGTAGTAATTGTATTTCAGGCACGGACACTGGAGGATTTTCATTTGTCTAACTGTAGCTAACAGTGGAGATCTCAATGGTCTCCATACATTAATCTAATTTTTGCTTCCCAATCTTTCTGTCATTTACAAATTTGTGCTTTTCTATCCTGGTTGTTAATGTTTTAATTCACATTTCATAATTTTATTGTGCTCATAAGACTTTTCAAGTCCTTTGTGATATAAGTACAGCCCATTCAATTAAAAAATAAATAGCCCATTTCCTGTTTCTTGGGTTGGTTTAAGAAAAATGATTAAATTACAAATTAAACAATTATTTTTTTATTTTCCTCCCAGAACTATTCTGTATGATTACTTGTAAATACACTGGTTTATTTTCCAAATGCCCTCTCCTTTCCTTCCACCATAATTTTAAGATAACTATTCTGAGAGATGTAAAGGAGAGGAAACTGGCTGCCCAGTGATTGCCTGGCCAATGTCTTATATAGCACAAGACAAAACCTATATATAAGGCTTCATGCACTATTTAATTAGAAAAAACAAAAACAAAAAAAACCAAAACAGCACCCACAGTTATTTCTCAAATAAATCTGGAAGTAAGTTTGACTCTTTTTCTGTCTCCTTTAGAAATCTGTGAATGTTTTGGGATTTCAAACTTATTTGTTGCAGGCAGTGTGGGGAAAAAACAGCTAGAAATAGGGGAGGAAACACTAACTCCAAGAGGGTAGAGAGAAGAAAAGAGAAGCAAAAAGGTAAAGGGCGGGTACATTTTCTAAGGGTAGGTAGCATTAGAGGCAGAGTACTAGGAGAAGTGAGAGGAAAAAAAATAAGCAGTAAAAAAAAAAAAAAAGCACCTCCAGCCATGTACTTCCAGACCATAAACATAATTAACCAAAATTTGCTTCTGTGTTCCAAGTAATGTAGCACTTCACCTCTACTTTATTGCTACTAGTAAGGTAGCACTACTAACTGTGAAAACATAAAAGCAAGCATTTTCTGGAGACACACAAGGTGACACAATAGTGTGGAAACTTCAAGAACAGAGTAATGATGTTAGGCTAGCTATGGACACAGAGCTGGCTTCCGTGTAACTAAATTTGAAAGGATCACATTAGAGGGTGGAAAATGGAAGATATACTGCAAAATGTAAACAATGATTATCTAGATGATAGAGTTACGTCTGATTTTTTTAATTTAACTCATCTGCATTCACAAATTTTATTTAATAAACCTTAATTTCCTAAGTCACATACATATATAAATATAATAAATTATATTTAATTTATAATATTATAGATATTATAACATGCATATATAAATAAATGTATGTGTATATGCATATGTTTGCCTGTGTGTGTATTCTTTCAGAAATGCAAAGTTTCCTTGGTACTTTACACAAGCATCCTCTGATAAAGTATTGTGCAAAAGTTAAGCATAGTTTCGGGTTTTGACAATTTTGCTACACTTTGCTAATACTGTTGTCCAAGAACTATTTATAAAAGAGATTTTCAATGCAAACAACACTGCAATAGCAGTGATTAATAATAAGGGAAAGAAGAATGGTCTGATGTTGTATAAATGGTTTCTCAGTTTACAATCTTAAATTTCCTCAAAGGATGTTTCTAAAGGTGCCCAAATATTGCACATTTTTTTCTGAAAAGAATAGGAGATTTTTTTTTAAATTATAAAATGGACCCAGACATCACAGCCTTTTACTTTCTACTCTATGTATAATCTGAAAATTAGATGCAATTAGCAAACAGCCTGGGTTTTGGAATTAAATCTGAGTTCAATCCCAGCTCTGCCACTTACTAGCTGTGTGATTTCCGTTTAATTACTTAAGCTCTCTGAACCTCATTTCACCTTCTGTAAAATGGAGGTGAGGACATCTTCCTCACCACAGGGGCTGCTGTGACAACTGACTGACATCACGTTTGCAACGCTCCTATCACTGTGCCTGGCACTTTGTTGAGACCCAATAAAATAAAAATCCATGGACTCTCAGAGGCTTCAGAACTCAAATGAGCCTCTTGCATCCAGGTCCCTTCGATTAGCCATCATCAAGCTGGCATGTGAGCGACGGGATCTCCAGAAGAGGCTGCTCCAGTTTCTCGGCCAAGTACAGGCGCCAGGTTCACGCGCTGTGGGGACGGTACCACCACAAGCAGAAACCACCGTGGGAGTGCAAGCTAAGAAAGGGTAAAGAGAAAACAGGGGCTGCCAAACAAAACAAAATGTAACCACTGAGGCAGTGACTTACGGTCTTAGGAGAGGAATTCCCGGAAGAGAAACAAAACAGTTTCTTTTTCTGTGTTGTGATAAGAAGGTAAACAAACCTCGAGAGGCGTATTCTGCCCAAGATAACTTTTTCGGGTAAGAAACGGTGCCTTACCCGCCGGCCTTTGCGGGAGAGCCGCCTGGGGGAGAACTGCCAGACAGGGAGCACTAGCTGCTCCCCAGACCGCAGGGTCTCCCACCGCCCCGGCCTCCCGGCGCGCACACCCACCCCGCCTAAGCGGACTTTTGCCTTGGCATGTAAGGACTTGTCCAGAAGATGCCTTCCTCTCTCCGGCCTGGGCCCCCTCCAGCGACCCCAAAGCCTCCCAGGCTCCTACCGCAACCCCTGTCCACCCCCTTCCCCACGCCAGTCTCTTCTCTGGAGTCTCCAAGGAGCGCCGGAGCTGCCCCGCCTGCCCCGCGGGGTCAGCACTTCGCATCAAGGCCCAAGAAAGGCGAGTCCCCAGGCTCCCTGAGCGCCCGGGCCGGAGGGAAAGTCCTAGCAGCCCCCGGGAGCCAGCCTGTCCAATGCCGGGTCGCAGCCCGCCCGCCGCGCCCCGATGCCCACGCGTTCCTGCCCCCGCCGGCGCCGCAGCCCGGGGCGCGTCCCCCGCCCGGCCGCCTCCCGGCAGGAGAGGACTCACCAGGGGCCGGAGAATCCAGACGCCCGGCATGGCTGTAGAGCAATCAGCCGAGGTGAGAGACCTCTCCAACTCCAAGCAGAGCGGGTCACCCACTGGCAGGAGAAGTGACAGTTCCCCTCCGCCCCTCCTCGAGCTCCGGCAGGCCTCTGGGTGTGTTCCCGGCCAGGGCCCGCCCCCGCCGCTCCAGCAAAGTTTACTCTCAAACTGCTTCCCTCTCTCCCCAGAGGCGACTTTAAACACCTGTGGGTAGTTTTTCCGAGAGACCAGAGACGACCTAACGAAAAGCCCCAGAGGTCCGGAGGAGGGGGAGGAAGTCTTGCTGGGGAACGCCCGGGTTGGGGAGGGCTCCATTGATTCAGCAACTTGGCCCGTGCGGGGAGGGGGTGGGGAAGCCGGAGTGGGGACGGAGTCAGGGTTTGTTGCACAAATGGGCATTCCCCATCCTGGGGCGTTTCCGCAGTCGGCTGGCATGTTCAGTTCAGGTGAGGACCCGGGGAGCCCGCTTGCTGACCTTTCTAAACGCTTCTGCTGTAGTTCAACTTGGGAAGGGTGGGGAGGGCTTGCACCGAGACTGGAGCTCAGAGCGCTCATGTCCTGCCGGGATGCAGGAACCTTGCCTAAAGGCTGGGGACAATGAGAGGAAGGCCTGGGCTTTGACTCAGCTCCACATTGTGGCTGCAACATGAGAGGCTCACAGGAGTCCCTGAATAGTGTATGAAATGACAATTATAACACGAAAAGGTACAGATATTGTGCCACGGATTTTGAAAAGGCCCCTTAGCTTTTATTTCTCAAGAGGAGAACAAAGTTAACTACTATGACAAATCACACAGCCCCAGCTGTATTAAACGTTCACGATTACTTCCTCTCCTTTGTTACTCATTATTTCCTGGCCATTTTTTTTTTAATTCTTGTAATTGTTTAGTTCCCTGGTTAACACTGTTCAAAGTCACTATTGCTTTGGAAAGGTGGATATTTCTTTAGATAGTTTTGCATGAATTTTACAGAAGGTAAGTTTGTATAATGACATCATTAAAAAGCCTGAGTCTGGAAGCAGTTCTTAGACTGGACTTAGATGGTGGCATCCTCCACCAAGCTCTACGCCTCACCCTGCTGCCTCTCTTCCTTCCCAGCTGGATTCATCCCTTTGAGAACACATTTCTCTCCCTCCCTTTGCCTGGCCCACCTTTCGTCCTTCAGACATTCTCTTAGATGACATTTTCTTCCAGAGGCCTATCCAGGCCCGCAAATCCAGGTTAGGTTACCCTCTTGAGTGCTTTCACTCAGCCTGTGTTTTGCATTTGTCACTACACTTGTCATCCAGTCTTGTAGTGTTGACTGGCTTTGTCTGACCTTCCTGTAGATTGTTAGTGCCATGAGGAAGACCCTGTCTGTGCCAGTCTTGTTCACACAGTTATGCACATGGGATAGACGCAAGAAGTAGGTGGAGTGGGAAGGATGGTAGAGGGGCGCTCTCTGTATTATCTTGGCAACTGTTCTGTAAATCTAAAACTATTCCAAAATGAAAAGTTAATTTAAATTAAAAAATATTATGAAAAGAAGGAAGGAAGGAAGGGGAAGGGAAGGGAAGAAGGAATGGAAGGAGAGAGGAGAGAGAGAGAAAAGGAGAAAGGACAGTTGATAAAACCACGTCTCTTGCATATGAATTATGAGCCAGCAACTTTCACAAATGATTCTTCCTTAATACTGCATTATAGCCCAGTGAGATGCGTGATTATTAAACTTACTTCTGGTTTAAGCTAGAAAAGCTTAAGCAACATGGGAAAAATTGGCTAGTTAATAAATAGCAGAGGCAGGAACTAATCTTATTCTTGCTTACAAGGCCTTGTTCTTTCTATGCCCACCCTTCCCGCCCCCATGCACATCTATAACTCTCAAGTTCAACAAGATAGTAATAGATGCTTTGTGGGGAGAATTGTGTTTCATGATCAAATAATTTTAGAAAATTCTGGATTAATTTAATTTAAACATCTCTTAATCCAAGACTTCTCAGAACCTTTAATATACTAATATATATAGTGACTATCTAATGGGGGGGGTAATGATCTATACTGTTCCCCAAACTTCTTTGTCTATGGAACCCTTTGAAGCATCTATTGAATGAATACTTCATGAATGCTGGTGTTCTGGGGAAAATAGTTTGGGCATTTCTAAAGGTTATTTTTATTTTACCAACACATTTCTAAGAGTCCTCAAGGCTTCAAGGGCAAAGAAATACAATTTTAATAATAGAATTTCAGGAATTCTAGCAGATGTGGAAGATATTTTGTACAACCACCCTTATTTTACTCAAACCGCACCATATAAGTTAAAGTTTGTTTCTTCCACTGGAAAGGTACCCTTGCTTCTGAACATTCTGAATAACACTTAAACACATATCTGACTATGTAAAAATGTAGCAGTATTAAAAAATAAAAAAGAAAACTTCAACATCTTTTCATCACCAAGACTACTTTTCTTCCTTTCCCCTATGGACCTAATGTTTTAAAAATTGTTTTCAAGCCAATTGTTTTTACTAAACAACAATAAGTTGATTTTAATAATGCCCATCCGTAGTGGACATCCATGATTGTTTATTCTACATTTTTTCTCCTTCTTCCTGGTAATAGCACTTCCAAGTTGCCTTTAGCAAAACTACCTCTCCTCTCTTCTTAACTATTTGGTGTGACTGCCTCTTTCAGTCAGGGCTCTCCAGAGAAACAGAACCACTAGGATGTATGGATAGATAAATAGATAGATATTAAGGAATTGGCTCCGTGAATGTGGAAGCTGGCAAATCCAAACCTTGCAGCATAGGCCAACAGACTGGAGACCCAGAGAAGAGTTGATGTTGCAGTTCAAGTCCAAAGGCAATCTGCTGGCAGAATTCCTGCTCTCTCAGGGTAGGTCAGTCTTTTTCTTAAGGCCTTCAACTGATGGGATAAGGCCCACCCGTATTATAGAAGGCAACTGCTTTACTCAAATCTTACTGATTTAAATGTTAATCCCATCCAAAAAGTAGCTTCACAGAAACATCTACAATAGTGTTTGACCAAATGTCTGGGTACTGTGTCCTAGCTAAGTTGACCCATAAAATTAACCATCACAGTGGCATTGACACCAATCCTGGGGCTTGGGTACACATGTTGGAAGGGGGCAGAGGGGAGGGAATCTGACTTGGCCTAAGCCAATCAGTGCATCACATTCAACTGGAGTAAAGCTTGGGACCTTTGCTAGTAACACTGGGACACAACTCTTTTTCTTCTCCACTGAATTTGAAATGGAAATATGTGAGATGTAAAACTGATGTGGTTGCTTATTGCCCTTCCAGAGCTGAAAGTAGAGTCAACTCATGCTGAGAGGAAGCCACAATTAGAGGAAACCACGCTGAGAGATTGAGCCTGGTAGGGTCACTGGAATTCTGGATGGGTTTGGTCCTGAAATTCAACCCTGGACTACCCAGTTATCCAACTCAATAAATTCTCAATTTTTGCTTGAGCTAGATTCTTACAACTGAAAGGATCCTAACTGATATAACATCAGAGCTTATGAGCAGCATAAGAAATCCTTTGTTATCAAAACTAATTGTTACAAATTAGCTATTCTGGTCTCAGGCTCAAGCAAGGAAAATTGCCTAAACAATCCAGTAGAGACCGCTGAGTATCTAGGGACATTACTTCTTCTACTAAAGAATTTTTCTGTCACTAGAGGGCATCAGAGCCCACATCGGCCAAGTGGCAAAACTGAATTTTGTTTCTATCAATTAACAGAAATATATTTGAGTTCTTGGGAAGGGAAAAGAGAGGAGGGAGAGCTTTGATTTGAATAGGTAATCTGTGAACCCTATAATATAGACATTTTGATCTCCCAGAGAACCTATTATTTTTTACAGGATTAAAGAAATGATACATTGCAAAGCACCAAGCACGCACGATAAATACTAAGTACTGATTTACATTGCTCTTCCTAAATGAGATGACTTCGCAAGACAAATCGTTAATTTGGGGTCACAGCTCAAATGGAAAGAAAGCAGGTTAAGTAGCTTACAACCTCCTTTTCTGTACTACTTCCTGCATGAACACCTTCATGGGCCTGACGACTAGGGACAGCACAGCCCAAGGATAAGTGCCGTGGAGCCTGGCTGACCAGGGCTGGAAAGCTTGGCCACCAACGTGTGGAGCAAGTAATTATATTTCCCCATTTTTCCCACTGTGAAAACAGGTATACTAACCTATCTCTTGAGCAATAACCTGGAAAAGACAACGGATGAAAGAACGTTGAGACTGTAGCAGCCGAGATGCAGACAGCATATGGGTTAGTAAGTGGGTGAGGAAAACAGCTGTTCTGTGGGTCCTGGTTTCATAATCCAATTTGCCACCCCTCCCTTGCCATTTCTGCATATAGGGGTGCCCTGAAAACACATATTCTGTGAATCCACAGTGTGCCTACACCTGGGTGTTCAGAATTGATACATGGAAAAATAGGGACCACTTCTCGAGAAGTGCTGATCTGGGGCAGATGGGACTTAGTCCTGAGTGGGCTTAGTGTAAGGCAGTATTTCTTAAACCTCTGCCACCATTTGCCATTTCTGTTTTCCCCTTATATGTATTAAATATGTATTTAACTAATACATATTTTTAATCAACTTATTTTGTTACTTCAGCTGCTTTATTTTTAAAATAAAACATTACATTATAACCATACACGGAAAATCAGCATTCCTTGCCAAAAATAGAAGGTATCCATAAAAATAAATACACAACTATTGAAACAAAATATTTGCCTGCATACCACCAAAACATGTTTCCCAAACCACCAGTGGTAAGGGCACTATACTTCTGAAAAGGTTGGCTCAAGGCATGGCAGTGCCTTCTGTCTGCTATAGCCTTCCTCCCTGCCCACAAGTGACGGAAGAGAAAAGACTAGCAAGCCGGTTCTCAGGCCCCCCACACAAGACTGGAAGGGAGGTAACAGGAAGGAACAAGAGAAGATGTCAGAGCAGCACAGGGAGGCACAGTCACTGTCTCTTAAGCAACGTCTAGTGCCAGGGGAG